CAATAATGAACATATTAGTTTCCCACAGTTTATCCCGTATACTTTATCCCTCAAACGCCTCACCATTTTGGTTGCCGGTCTGTAGACTCATTTTATCTCATCAATATCCTTTTGTATCTTTTTGAGGTCTCCAGAACTGGACACAATTTTAAATTAGATTACACTAGATCTATGTAGTTGAATCGGAACGCCCTTCCTTCTGCTGGTGATCCCCCTAGAGATGCACCCCGGACATTTCTTTACTTTCCCCCATACCTGGCCACACTGTTTGCTCATTTGGTAAAGAAAATAAATACCCCTAAATATTTTTCCTTCGTAGTTCTGCCAAACACTGTATCCCCAATATTGTACTCCATTAGAACATTTTTAATCCCTAAGTGCATTATTTTTCATTTGGAAATGTTGAGTTGCAGGTTCCGCTGCTTTGACCAATCTTCCAGCAATGCAAATGCATGTTCTATGATACACACATCTCAAGAAATGTCAAACATCATGCACATCCTTGTGTTATCAGCTGTGCTATAAAACAGGCTAGAACACAAACAGATACGAGCAGCAGGGGATGCTCAGGAGAGGCATTTGAAAGAATCTGGGATGCAATGACAAATCACACATGCTGCAGCCGAAACAATATTATAGCATTTCAAACGCTACACTAAGTGCTCATGTGTATGGAGCAGTTCGGTCCAGGATGCTCTTGTAGCCCCAAGGGAAGGATGCATCTAGTCATTAAAATGTTGGGAACAGGTATCGGGGGCACTGTTATGAAGTGTACAAGGCTTCAATATGTTTCTATCACATTTAAAACAATTCGTAAATCTACATAAATTATATACAAAATATTGAAATACATTAGGGTTGATTTGCTAAAGGCAAATAGGCGGTGCACTGAAAGTGCATTTGCTCTGAGGGGAACGTGCAAGGAAAATAACCAAACAGAATTTTTTTGACTGGCTGAAAAATCAGGAGAGCGACCCCTTGGATCTAAAGCAACTGCTTTACTTTTAGTATACTACTTGCCTATTCGCCTTTAGTAAATCAACCCCATTATGACTTTAAAGGGCAACCCCTTGCTAAGGTTGAACATGAGTCTCTGAAGCACAGAAGAATGATGGTAACCTGCGTTTATGTACCTCACTGATCTTCCTGTCCATTACAAGTCAGCCCAGGACAAGCTAATTAGAAAATCACCAGCAATTTGGCGAACTGAGTAGAAGAGGTGCTTGAAATCATAAAATGAAGATAAAGTACTTAATGTACGCTCTATCACACACAATATACATTAAAGTGGTTGGACTCTATGCATTACGGTAAAAAAACAACTCCCTTAACCTCCTCCCCCTATACTTACTTGAGCTCAATCTTGATCCAGCGAGCACGAGAGCAGTGACTCTCCCTGTTTTCTCTTTCCACATAAGACAGATGCAGCAGGGGGAGGGGGAGCGGCGGGCGGTGGGGGTCGAATGAATTGTTTTTTCTTAATGGCATTTTTAAGATAATTTTCTACAGATGGAAAAAAAAAACAAAAAAAAATAGACACTAATAAATGATTTGTGTACCTGAAATTTCCTTAGAATAGTCCTTTTACTTCTTCTGTGTCAGGATCAAGGTCAATGTCATAAAAGCATGGTCTTGTGGGTAATCCTGGCATGGTACTCATCTACGAGAAAAATAAAATGAAAATGGTACATTAGTGACATGACATTCTATGTAGATAAATGAATGTCAGACAACAGTTATGGCAAATTTATATCATGGGGTTGCTATGCAACTGCAAGCCAAGCATTTTGTTCATGGTTGAAGTGGATGGCAGTCCCATCCACTTACATTGGAGAGTGTACCAGGCATGTCATGTAGTGTTAAAATTGTTATGACAATGTGTACTCTTCAGAGTGGCAACAAGTCCACTTGTAGGTGGGCGGTCAGGGGGTAGAAAAAACTGAGATCGAACAAACCATCTGTTTTTTTACCACTCCATGTGTGACAGCAGTGAGAAGTGAGAGGACTAATGAATTTACTATGATGAATTTGCTATGTGCAAGTTTAGTACAGTATTAAACAGTGGATTGTGCAGTCCAAATTGTCCTCAGCATATAAAGCAGACAGCATGCTGCCTCTATGAACAATATTCTGGTTATAAGATTTTATATCATCATTCTAAGTGGTAGAGTTTGTATGAAATGCAAAGATCTCTCAATTTAAAGTGGTTCTAAAGGCACAAGGGTTTTTACCCTAATGCATTCTATGCATTAAGGGAAAAGTTCTTCTGGGTGCAGTCCCCCCTCCCCCCAGCACCCCCTTATACTTACCTGAGTAAGTATACGTACATCTCCCTTCAGTCATGTGCATGAGAGTCGCGACTTTCCCGGGTCTCTCTCTCCTCATTGACTCACACAGCTGCAGGAACCATTGGCTCCTGCTGCTGTCAACCACAGAAGGTGAGCCAAAGAGAAGAGAGCAGGGGCGGGGCCGAGCTCTGTGTGAATGGACAATGTTCAGTTACAGGAACGTGGCTCAGGAGCGAGCTAGCTTGAGTTCCCCCATAGCAAAAGGCTTGCTATTAGGGGCACTTGGCAGGGGGAAGGAGCCAGGACCACCAGTGGGGGACCCAAAAAGAAGAGGATCGGGGCGGCTCTGTGCAAAACCATTATAGAATGGTATAACATGTATAATTCTAAACAAGTATAACATGTTTGTTTTTTTTTTAAATGACAACCTTTAGAATCACTTTAATCCAGGTCAAAGGAATGGCAGCAAGTTATCAATTTGAATCCTGACTGGCCGAAGCTCCTTTTTGGTTCCACCTTATACTTACAAAGGAGAATAAAAGAATATTATATGTACAGAGTATCATATCCAGGAGCTGCCTGGGAAATTGGAATTACTTTGCTTTCAAAAGGAACCCAGAGCTCATTATATTGACAACCACTAATTGCTTTCAACCACAACACAAAATAAGCAAAAACTTCTGGTAAACTTCTGGTGACAAACTTCTCAAGCACGACCCTAGCATCAGGAAAATATCATATTTCTTTCCTTGTGGGTTCCAGCAATGTGTTTTGTGTGTTGAGAAGAGCTCTGCTATTTAACCTTCAATAAGAAGATCTCATTTTACAAGCTTATTACACTCTGCCAATGAAAAGAATAGGCTGGAAAGGTGACTACAGAGAACATGTTGTGTTTTTCACTGGCCTCCATGAACTTTATTGAATCTGCTAAAAGGATTCTTGGAACTTTATTGGATTCCACAACATTACAATTATTGACTCAGATCATTTGATTAATTAAACAATTCCATGGTAAAACAAACCTCCAGAACAGCTGGCTACATTATAAAAGCTGCAGGAACTCATTTCTTCCACAGATTTTTTCATTAGGATTTTTGTGTTTTTAATAGGAGGTTAGTGTTATGTCCTGTAGTTTGGGAGGCAGCGTAATTATAGAGTCCCTTTTTTTAAAAAAAAAACACGTTTAGGCATCCATAATGCACAGAAAGGCTACTGAGTATATCAGAACAGGGACAGAAACAAGTATAGAAAGTATAATACATGTAACATCTATAAATAGTGACATCTACAGGTCAGAGGAATTCCCCCTCATAGTACATTATCTAGTATCTGTTTTCTTCATTGTTGAAACAATAGGAAATGCCCATTTAGAAGAATCAATTTTTCAATCATATCTTGTTATAGTAAGTTTTTAAAACGGTATTTTAAACCATCCTACAGGCACTTTGTATTTTTCGACTGCAGAAGATGTGTATTGGTCATAGTTTCATGGTGTCATTTGTTGCCCTGTATGCAGTCTATAGGAAAGTAAAATGTTCCCATTCTGGTGTCAGAAATTTCTTTTACAAAAAAGGTTTTATCAGTGTATAGCAAAAATACAAAGATACTACATGCATCCAGAAAAAGCATGAAAATGTACAGGTGGTACATATAAAAAGGAATGGAACAAAACACACACTGGGTGGGCAAATGGCAAATACAGCCCAAATATACAAACAACAACAGCTGTAGAATAAATACAAGACAGGAACAGCTGATGGGGGGGGGGGGGGGCTGGGGGGGGGGGGGGGGGGGGAGTGCTGGATTACACAGAGAGCATTCACCAGAAAATAAGGTGATCAGCTACCCCAATCCAAACCAGGGGGAAAAAAAAAAAAGGGGGGGAGGGTGGGGGGAGGCCAACAGGAGGCCATCCAAGATTAATCAATATGTGCAGCAGGCAGTCAGGAGAGAGAGGCAAAGAGAAGAAGAAAGAGTAAGGGAGAGGAACAAAAAAAAACAGAACAGCAAAAGGTATCCCAGGGGTCAAAAGCATATTATCAAGTTTCCAACAGTTGATGGTCAACAGGCGAAGGATGAAAATGCGATATCCAAGGTTGCCAAATCCTGAGAAGAGGATGGACTTCCTTGCTCTGGCGATAGGGAGCTTGGTCACTGTAAATAGGTAAGTTGCAAACTGCCATTCAGAACAAAAGGGGGTTTCTATGGCCTTAAAAAGAAAAGCCACATAAGGATTTCTCTTAAATCTGGAGTGTAATAATGTAAGGAAAGTAAGGAAGCAAAGCATAAACTTGAATCCATAATCTGCTCAAAAAGCAACAAGCGTGCACCATTAGTCCTGGCTGAGCACAGGCACGAAAGCAAGTTGGAGGGATAATTAGGAGTAATTTAACCACTAGCCTACAGGGCACTTATACCCCCTTCCTGCCCAGGCCAATTTCCAGCTTTCAGCACTGTCGCACTTTGAATGAAAATTGCGCGGTCAAACAACATTGTACCCATATGAAATTTTTATCATTTTTTTGTGACAGATAGAGCTTTTTTTTGATGGTATTTAATCACCTCTGGGTTTTTTTTTATTTTTTCTTAAACCAAAAACCACTGAAAATTTTGAAAAAAATTTTTTTAGTTTTTGTTATAAACTTTTGTAAATAAGTGATTTTTCTCCTTCACTGATGTGCACTGATAGGTGGCAGTGATGGGCACTGATAGGTGGCAGTGATGGGCACTGATGAGGAGGCACTGGTAAGTGGCACTGATGGGCATTGACAGGCATCACTGACAGGCACTGAAAGGCAGCACTGATACATGGCACTGATTGGCATTGATGGGTGGTACTGAAAGGCAGCTCAGGTGGGCACTGATATGTGGCATTGATGTGCACTGGTAGGCACTGATATGTGGCACTGACAAGGCACTGACAGGTGGCACTGCTGGGGCTACACTGATCATCAGGGCACACTGATCATCAGTGCCCTGATGATCAGTGTACATGTCCCCTCCGCGGAAAGCCGATTACCGGCTCTCCTCTCCTCTCGAGCTGTCAGCGTGACAGCTCGAGAGGAGAGAAATGCCGATAACCGGCATTTCCCTGTTTACATGTGATCAGCTGTGATTGGACACAGCTGATCAAATGATCGAGCCGACATCTTCGGCTCTTTCCGTGAACGGTGATCCGCTGTGTCTGAGGGACACAGCGCACGCCGCCGATCGCCGCGCTCCGCTCTCCCTGAGCCGCGCATGCGCAGTGAGAATGGGAGGACGTCATATGACGGCCTCCCAGAACAAGAGAACTACCTTGCGCCCGTCATATTACTATATGACGGGCGGGAGGTGGTTAAGCTAGTCGAGCTGTCTCGTAATAGCAGCGATATAACACTTTGTATGCATTTTCAAGAATGACAACATTTTTTGAGCACTTGGAGACAGCCAAAATCATGATCTGCCAGTCCTGAGGATCCAACTCAGTTTCCAGTTCACGATTCCATTGTTGCCTATATAGTGGCATCGGAGGTTGTTTGGAATTACCGAGGAATACATCAGGGAAAAAAGACCTAGTAAGTAATGTTCTGATTGACAAAGAATTTCAAAAGACGTCAAGGTATATGGGGCAGATTGAAAGCAAATGAGACCAGAGACAAAATGATGAAGCTGTAACAGTAGTGTTCACACAAAGGTATCTCGTGGGAAGACAGAAGGGTTTTAAAAGTCATAATTCATCCTCATGAAGTTTGTTTCTGATTGTTTGGTCAGAGACATTCACTTCAGAGGCCTGCTGGAGGTCATGTGAGAGAATAATAAGAGGAATGCTGACTTACCTGTAAATTCCATATCTTGGACTACAGTAAAGGGCACAAACCCTGGAGTTATAGGCTTGAACCTTCAGGTGATTGGACACTGGCAAAGCACTATAACCCTACCCATTCCGTGAGACCAAAGTTTTCTTTAGCAAGTAACAATGTAGTATACCACAACAGAAGGGAGAGTAGCCTGTGTATTGTACTGTATTCAAAGATATGGAATTTACAGGTAAGTAAAATTTTTTCTCATCAAATTATACAGTGCAGGACACTGGAAGGATATTCACAGAAACTGGGACATAACCAAGCAATGAATAAAGAGGGGGGGGGGGGACCACAAAGCAAACAGAACTGTGCCAACAGGCCCAACAATAACAAGGGTCAACAGACCCAATTCATTGTTGCTGCAAAAACCATCTGGCCAAAAGGGGCATCCACAAAAGAATGCACATCCACCAAGTAGAACTTAGAGAAGGTATGAACTGAAGACCAGGTGGTGGCCTTGCAAAGCTGGGAAAAGCTGCTTTATTCTGGAATGTCCAGGAAAACACCCACCAATCTAGTGCAGTAAGCAAGTGCCGGAAGTGTACACTTTTTAGTGGAGTTGTCTTATCCACCTAGAAATAATGGATTTTGAATCAGTATGTCCTTTGCAAGGCCCCAACTACCAAACAAAGAATATGTCTTACTTATAGAAGCTGTGGCTTTAAAATAAACTCTGATGGCTCTGTCAATGCCCAGACAATAAAGAGCAATCTCTTTAGGGTGCTTGGGAGCAGGGCACAAAGGAAACGACTATGCCTTCATTGTATCGTTAGATACCAACTTGGGCAGAAAGGTTGGTCTTTGGCACAAGACACCTTTATCTTTGTGAAGTATCATGAACGGTTCCTTATAAGAGATCTGATAGTTCAGCAACAAGTTTGCTAAACATGAGAGCCACTAAGAAGGCCACTTTGCAAGAAAAATCATTCAAGGAGTACCGTAATGGATTCAAAGTGTTCTTTGTAGAGCAGAGAGAAATTAAGATCTCACAGCACATGGTGCTGTAAGGGTTTTCTAACCCCAGAAATGACTTAAAATAAAGGTTATTTATAAGGGAAAATGAAGCCAGAGGTTTTTTAGAACAAAATTACCAAGGCTGAAATCTGTCACTCAAGATTACTTAAGAGTAAACCAACAAATGTAAGTCAAGTCACAATTGTAGGAAGGCCAGAATGTAAGGCTCAGATAAACCTCTGGAACTGAAATGCCTGTATTCACAGCAGGCAAAGAAGGATTTTCAGGTATAGTAGTAAATCTTTCCAGAAGCAGCTTTTCTGGCTTAAGGCAACATGGGAATAACAGAATCAGAGACACCCCATCTCTCAAGACATGACTTTCAACAGCCATGCCATAAAGCCTCAGAAGAAAGGTGGAACAGGAGGCCCTTAGACAGAAATTATGGCATGTTTAGAAGAGGCCAGGGATGGTCTCCTAGAACTTTGCATATGTCTGTGTACCAGGGTCTCTTAGACAAATTTGATACAAAGAGAATCACCAGTTTCCACTCTTGCTCTATTTTGTAACGCAGTCATGGCAGAATTAACACTGGAAGAAAGGCATACAATAGCTGGAACAAAGTCCAGGGAATTATTAGAGCCTCCTATGCCACTGCTAGATGGTCCTTGCTCCTGGATAAAAATAGGGCTACCTTGTTATTGTACCTGGAGGCCAGAATATCCTCATCCGGAGTTTCCCATTTCGGACATAGGAGGATGTTCCACATTTTTGACTCCTAGGATGTGAACAGCAGGGAGTGTTGGACAGTGTTTTTCCATCCATGAGATGATCAGACTTCCATTAAAGCTTCCTGAACTTTGATACCCCATTGGTGGTTGATACAGGCCACAGCAGTAGCACTGTCTGATTGTACCTTGATTGAGTGACCTTGAAGAAGGTGATCCAATGATTTGGAGATAGTTATATCATTCAGCTCCAGGATATTGATAGGAAGCTTGGATTCCTGGGGCAACCATGTTTCCTGAACTGTGGGGGAACACTCCTCCCCAGCCTGTGAGGCTAGCATCTGTTGCTGTCACCCTCCATGGGGTAGATATGAATTCCCCATTGTCAAGGCTTGATTTGAAATCCGCCAAGCCAGGGAATTCCTTGTTTGGCTAGAGAGGTGCATTGGGAAGTCAAGAGAAGGAGTGTGCTTGTTCCAGGCAAACAAAAGTTTGCATTTGAGAGGCCTTCAATGGAACTGAGCGAATGGTAGGGCTTCAAATGAAGCTACCAGGATGTCCAGAACTGATCTTAAAGTGTAACTAAACCCAGTACCCTGTGTTCACCATATCTGGTCTCTCACAGTACACAGAACATGGAAGTGCAATTATTTAGCAAATATAAACTGCTAAATACCTTTTCTGATCAGCAGTTAGAGCGGCCTTGTAACTTCTATAAGTGTTCAGCAGAGCATGTTAAAGCTTGTAGGAGGAGTTTGCTTTCTGCTCTAGGAGGATGCAAAACACCCGTCCTCTGTCTGGACAGAGCTGATTGCATGTTATCAGCACAGGGCACTCTCCCCCCAAAAAAAACAAAAAAAAAAACACAACAACAACACACCTCTCTAGCAACACACTAAACTGAGCATGTGCACAATGGCTACGGTTCACTGTGTCTTATCAGGAGATAAGACACGTACCTTTGAACAAGCAGAGAAGACAGGATCAAGGGGCATTTTTACACAATGCAGAGGATTAACCCCTTAGGTTCCACAGTGAATATAACAAGCATGCTTTACTGCATTTACAGACTGATTTTACTGTTGTAGGTTTAATATCACTTTAGGATCCAGGCAGGAGATCCTAGAGCGTATTTTTTTCTCTGGAAGAAAGGCCTTGGCCTGGGCTGTGTCCAAAATGAGGCCTAAATTTTCTAGACGAAGGGTAGGTTGGAGTGCAGACTTTTGAAAGTCTATTACCCAACTGAAGGCCTGAGGCATCTGAATAGTCCTCTGGATGTTTACAGATGGTTGAAGGGAAAAGGAGACCTTCAGAAGAAGGTCATCTAGGTATCCTGTTACATAAATGTCCTGAGTTCTTAAGAGGACAAGAATAGGTGCAAGTGCCTTTGTGAATATTCTTGGTCCAGAGGATAGGCCAAATGGCAGTGCAACAAACTGGAAGTGTTTGTCTCCTACTGCGAATCGCATATAAGTAAATAGCAATACATGTGTGATCAGCTTCACCCGGGGAGTACAAGGCTCATCGTCCTCCATATTTGGCAGAATTTAGCATCCTGTCACTATGAGAAGTTTGGATACCTGGATGGGTCATTCTCAGTGCTGCGTGTAAAGGGGGATACCACCATTACTGCTTAACCTGGATTCATTGATGTGGATGGTCGTACTATTATATCGGGCAGTTTGAAGGCTCATTGGCCCTTGGGGTCGCTGCATTAAGGTGAGGGGGCAATGCAGCCTTTGGAGGATCCTGATTTTTCACCTATAAATCACCTTCATCACCATTATATGTGTTTCATCTCGTTTGAAGAGTGCACAAGGGGACTTTCGCCATTCTATATGAACGATTTAGTGGCACATTTATAGCATTATGCGGTTTTCTAAAAAAAGGGTTTTTTTTTTTTTCCTTTCACATAATGTTATGGTATTGTAACACTTTATGTGTTTGTGTTCACAATTATTAATCCCAATTAGGGATTGAATCACACCAGTTAGACAACATTTGGTTGTCATTCATCACTATGTGATTTAAGACATTGATGTGTTAGGAGTTCATGTGGTTTTTAAGGGGTTTTTGTCATCAGGTTTTATCCTACCATTATCAGTTCAAAAAACTCACAACAAATGTGAATGCACTGGACACGGCACTTTTTATTGAGGCACAATTTATGCCATTCATTTATCACTTTATTTGTGACCAAAGTCACCATTTTCCCTGTTTTTAGGGACGCATGTTTAGTGTTTCACATATTTTTATTAATATGTGATTTTTTGTTTACACACGTATGTTTACTGGTCACAGCTATCACATGGTATTATTTGTTTTTATGTGTATATTATTATTGGTTTATATGTATACATTTTGTGTGTTTTATTTAGTTTATTTAGACACCATTTAGGGAGTGCAGCACCATTTTTTTCATTGAGCAATACGTAGGTAATCATCCTGGATGTCTACTGATAAGTACTCCCCTTCGCCTCAGAGAAGCAATAACAAATCTTACGGATTCCATGCAAGACTTTGCAACGTGAAGACACTTCTTTAGTGATTTTAGGAATACATGTTGGCTATGGAATCATACACAGGTTCAGAATCCTTTGAGCTTCTAATCCACAGGGACTGGAATGACAACTCCCTGGGACAATGGATGGTTCAGGGTGGTCTGC